CCAAGTACGAAAACATCTACGAGTGGCCGCAAACCTGATGATTATCAGCCTCGAGCTCAAATAAGGGTAACCTCAAAGTGGAGGATAAAAAGGTAATCGAAGAGCCTTCCGAAAAATACATTGTCTCAGAAAAGCTTGTTGCAGATTATATTGAGCATCTAACTGGCATTGAGACGAGAAAAGATAAGCGGTGAACTGATAATGACAGGAAGCGTGCCGAAAGAAAGCAACAGGAATACAATGATATTGATTGGGAAGATCTCTATCACAGAAACCAGTCGCCATCCCTTAGAGTAGGTAAACTTGAACTTTGCATTAATCACCACAATATTGCACTTAAAGGAAAGAAAGATGAGAAATTGAGGGTGGTGAAGGCACATACTGGCAGTAAGATTTTGACTTCTACTATGCAGGACAGTCAGAAAAACATTCAGCCAGCCTCTGACTCAAATTCAGAGTCTGACAGTGACAGTGACAGTGACAGTGACAGGGTGGAGCGCATTGTTGGATCTAGTAGCAACTCTTCAGAACTAAATGACTCAGGAGATCAGGCAGCGGTTTGTCAACAGGAGCAAGAGGCTGAAGAAACGATACCTGAGTCTATTATGTCTCGATACGGATGGAAAAGGATACGGGTCCTCCGAGAAAATTATGTGCCATGGCATATACATGTAGAAATGTAACATAGAACCTATAATAAAATATCAAAGTAGGTGAAAATAAAAACTTAACCTATAAGTAAAATGGATAGCAACATCGCAAAAGTCCTCATTAAAAAATTCTGGAAAAAGTTTGTTCCTTACCTTGAATTGCCTACAGAGAGGTATGACCCTCCCCTTTAGGTGCTCACTTTTACCAATAACCCTCCCCTCTGAGGCCCCAGTCCTCTCCCCCCCCCCCCTCCCCAAGAAAAAAACGTACCTTTCCTTAATATGGCAAGCCAAACATGACAAAAGTGGGTTGAGCTCAAACTTTTCTATCAAATTTCAGTGATTGATATGTAAGATTTTAATAGGCTACTTTCGAATTATTTGTGCGTCTGATTTTTGGCATCAAGTTAAAGCTGACGGGAATAGGAGTCGTTCAACATGGCAGCAAATGATGCCTTCTTCACAAATATGAAAGTTCCTGGACGACGGAAATTTTTAAAGGAAAGGGGTATTCAAATTTCTGTTTCGGTAAGAGTAGGAAAAAGGCAGAACTGCTGAAGCTTTGCAAGAACGCGGCTGAAATAAAAGTTCCTAAACTTGAAAAGGAAACAGTGCAACGCGACGAGTTGATTACATTCCCAGAAGAAAAACTACTTCCCTATCCACTTTCGCTGAAGTTTTGGACTCATGACTTCACTGGTATTCCAGACTTCAGGTTTCCCGATAGTTACCATTATCTGGTTGGAAAAGATGGTTACGATGAAGACTGTTTACGGTCGTATAAAAGCCTTGAGGGTTTTCGCTTGTTTACTGATAGGCATGTGGAGGATCTGAAGTACCACGATTTAATTGATGATGGGACAGATAAACCGACTGGATTCTGCTATTTCCAGTTCATAGTCCTTTTCTTTGAAAGCTTCTTCTCTACAAACTTTGTTTTCCTTAAGGACGTGGCCGTGATCTTTCAGAGGAAGTTCAGTAGAAACACGGAAAATTTGGGCGGGAAGTACTTCTTTGCTGTCTTCGTTACCGTTTCGTTTTCTCCGCTCATTCGACCTTTTTTCGCATTGAATTGGACTTCTACGGACTGTATGCTAGTTAAATATTGTTAGAACTTTGCCGTGTGCTAACCTTTTAGTTCCAGAAAGTGTCTTCACGACTTGTTTAGTCTCAAAGTGTTCGAAGCATATGTGCAAGTTCTTGATGGATGTGAACTCCTTATCAGCGCGACGAAGATCGACCAGTCAATAAGACTGAAGTTATGCTGTTGTGTTCGAAGCTTCACGATTTTTCTGGAGGTTGAAAATGAAAGTAATGACATTTTTAAACGGCTGTCACTGGTATAGCTGACCCTTTAATGATAACTTCAAGTATGTTTCCTGAATTTTGATGGCTTAAATCTTGATGGAATGCTGTTATTTTCACTGATTTATTATCGAACCATTTTCACATTTGCAGATGCATTTATTTAGTGGTGTAAGTAGTCCACTAAAATCAACGTAGTTTTTAGTGCAATTTAAAATTCAGGCATTGATCTCTTAGAAGGCACGTAATGGTAGCAAAAGCAACATGCCACCTTTGAGTTTTCCCATTCCAAGGGGCTGACAATTTAATCCCTTGTTATGTAATGACCAGTTACATTTACTACTTAAAGTCCACTTACGATTTATTGATGTTAGTAATATTAGAGTTCAGTTGATAAAATTTTAATTTCGAGTTTGTAGTCTTGAAACTTGCATATTTTACATCCCTGTCGAAAGGCTTTCTAACTCGTAACCAAACTAACTGCCAGTGACGATAATGTAATGACATTTGAATAGATATAAATTTGTGACCTGATTCTATTTTTTTTTGGAAAGTTCAGAAAATGCCATCAACAGTAACTTGTATTCTGTGTTAAAAAAAATCCTTATACCAGTAATGTGAAAATGTTATGCATAACATAAAAATTTTAAAAACTAAGAAGCAAATTTCAAAGTGTTCAAAGAGTTCATTTAAAAGTGTTCCTTTCAAAGCATTCTGAGTGTTCATTTCAAATTGTTCACATCTTCCATACTGAACAATGTTACAAAACAGGCTTGCTCCTCTTTCATTACATTAGTGAACTCCTCAACCAGTTCTGGGTATGATTCATATGTAGATGGAAGTTCTAGCAATGCTCTACATGTTCTGGCAATAGGACGTCAATGCGACCTTCAAGGATAGCAACGTGCACATCAATGTTGTGTACAGTGATCATATCCAGTGCAGATCCGGAGAAACATGTTCAAAGGATGTAAGTTCCGCCTCAGTTACTTGTTCAGCTCTGAATAACTTGTTAATTTTCTTGGCGGCTTGCGTTAGTCTCGAGGGACTGAAAGTTTTCCTTAGAGCAAAATACCTTGAGAATTGGACTCCACCAGTTGATCACAAATCTTAGCTTCTGGACAAGTTCCTGATGGACAAGTTCGATGATTATGGCTTGAATGTAGTTCTTACTTGGTGTTTTAACCCTTTAACCCCTATGAGTGATTAGTGATTATTTTCTCCTATCAGCATCACCCCTAAAACAAACATTAAGATCATGAGAATAAAGGAAATATCACAAACTAAAGAGGCTCTTGGTTGTTAAACAAATTCTCTTTGTCAGCACCATAGGATATGCACAGAGAACAGTACGGAAAAAAAGTATGCTGATGTTAGGATGCAAAGGGTTGAAACACTTGAATAATGTAAGAAATTCCAAGAAATCTTCATCATTAGGTTTAAAATCATCACCAAGGCACTTGTCCAATACCTCTCTATCTTCTGTAGCTACCAATTGGCTGAATCTTCATATCAACGTCTCTGAAGTGATAACTTCATCCCCATAAAGACACAGTGCCACAAATCGATGTAACAAATTTACTGGGAAGTAATTTGCCCATTTGTAACCATAAAGCAGAAATTAGCCAATGGCTTCCCACTGTAGTTTCTGCATGTCATGCTCAATAAATGGGACTTTTTCATTGTCTCCAATCATCAGTGATGTGAAGCGCTTTTGCCAAAGGCATGCTAAAACATCTAGAAGAACCTTGTTGCCTTCTCCCTTCTCTTCTCTACCAGCAGTGGGTATGAAAGTGATGTGGAGATGGCAGATCAAGATACTTTCATCTTTAAAGATCTTCATCACTTCTTCCTAAATAGCAACTCGATGGATTGTGATTTTCTTTCCACGTAGTGGATCATCATCAATGTTGTAATCCTGTGAAACGCCTTGAGCTCCAAGCAGTTGACTTATGCTTTCAATGGGTGGCTGCTGTGGAACCAGTTTAGTGATCTCCCTATCCTCTGACATTATTGGGACTGGCAACAGTTGGTTGTTGGGACTACATACTGGCCTGCCATCTGCTATATCTAGTTACACTTGAGTTCGCAGTATGAGCTTGTGCAGCATTAAGGCTTGTTTCAGTGTAAAGAGGTACACTCTCTGTAGGATTTATGGTTATAGTAGAGGTTCTAGCATGAGCTGGTGTACCAGTTGAGCCAACTATGGGGATGTGCATTTTTTTTTTATTCTGTCTGGGGTTTTGTGTTGAAGCTCGGGTGTTACCCTTAAAGTTGAAGCTTCATTCTCGTAGTAATTTCCCAATCTCGCATATCTATCAATGAAACTCATAGGGGGTTTTGAATTCAACCCCCTTTTGTCATGTTTGGCTTGCCATAAATTAAGTGCCATGGGGTGAAAATGAGAGAATATTTCTCGAAATTCAGTCTGGGAGAGTAAAAAAAATTGGCAGGAGAGATATATTTAGCTAAGTGATGGCGGCACAGCAAACAAAAGCAGACCTGCTCGATTTACCCAAGAAAGCTGCAGCAGTAAAGCAGATCCAACTAGCCTCTTCTGCCAAAGACCGCAAAAGACTGTCGGAGGAGACGTTAGAAACAAGTTAGGGCAAATTTCCAGTAAGAAAAGGTTTGATTGCTCGGACGAACTACTTTTCTAACATTACAGAGCTCTCGTTTGGCGTCCACATGCAGCCTCGCCTCAGTTAGTTTGTTGTTATCATTTAACGCTTGTGAAATGAACTCAGAATCTGTAATTTTCGAAACGGAAATCTGTAGTTTGCGAAATGGAAATCTGTCATTTGAAAAACAAGAGGAGCGACCAGCCAGATGTACTGGTCAAAACTTTTAAAAAATATTTCTTTTGTTATGGGTCTATCCTCACTTGAAAAAAATTTCCAACGGACACTAGAAGGATGAATTCATTTCACACATTTAAACGAATGCTTTAAGCCTTTTAAAATGCACAAAGCTCTTTTTATAATTCTACAAACAGCGGAGCGTAAGTTCATAGAAATGGGAATGGGAGGGCTACACATTTTTTTTCATTTATTAGATTTTTTATGTATGTACGTTTGCAACGAGTAAGATAAAGTAAAGTTTAACTGACCATGTTTGGCTAATGTGAATGGGGTATAAGATGTATGAATCTATTCCCAGTTCAGAAGTTGCGTTAAGGTTTATGCGGTATTCCAAGGAGGCCTGGGAAACTGAATAGATCCCAGTCTTGCGTGTCCACGATCATCTGGCTGCCTACTAAGTTATGGCCCTCGGATCTGATTAGACCTATGTGAAGATGTGCTTGTTTATGGTGGCTATGGTGCTTCTTGGAATGTAGAAGGAGGGGGAACAAAACATTTGTTAACAATAATCCTCAAACTGCGACGGGCGATTTTTAATTAATTGTTTTCACTTCAGTATCAATCTCCTATGGAGAAAGCTTAACGGCCGATAATAAGGCATAACCCAAAGGCTGGTTTTCATTTACAACTGAGGCGGAGTCAAAGTCGACTCCGATATTCAGTTTTCACTCGAAAGGTAGTGCTCTTACCACTTCGACTCCGTCGTTGATGAAAGCGTGCCTCAAACAAATTGGAGAGAAGGATATCCGAAATGATTGTTTCCTTTTTTCCATAATGTAGGGATAAACCGTGGGCAAGGACTTGAAGAGCATTTGCAATAAAGTTCATCCAATGTCAAACTCAGTGCAATCCATCTAGCTACATACATATTTCTTAAATTTCTAATCAATTAAGCCATTTTTTATACAAAAACATTATTTATATTTGATTGTACGGATATTTTGAATAAAAAAAGTGGGAAGTCAAATGCGCATTTATGATTGCTAGATTATTTCTCTTTTCTTCCCACAAATGCTATTTGTTCTTTTTACCTTTTTGTAGGCAACAATTTGCAAAATACGGAAAAGTTGAAACCCAACGACAAAGCTGGGAGGGGAGAGACTTATAGAAATCTTGGCATTGTCCATCAAAATTCAAGCGATTTTCATGAGGCCATTGAGTACCACGAGTGCCATCTGCAAACTGCAAAAGAAGGGGAGGATAAAGCTGGACAAGAACGGGCTTATGGAAATCTTGGTAATGACTTAAAATGCTTAGACGATTGTCATAACAAGTGTTATGAATGTCATCCACAAACTACAAGAGAATTGGGAGGCAAAGCTAGAAAAGGACGGGCTTATGGAAATCTTGGCATTGCCTATAGGAGTTTAGGCGATTATCATAAGGCTATCGAGAACCATGAGCGTCATCTACAATTTGCAAAACAAGTGGGAGACAAAGCTGGAGAAGGAGGGGCTTATGGAAATCTTGGCAATGCCTATCAGATGTTAGGCGATTTTCATAAGGCTATCAGTTACCACGAGCGTCATCTACAAATTGCAAAAGAAGTGGGAGACAAAGCTGGAGAAGGAAGGGCACTTAGAAATCTTGGCAATGCCTATCATAGCTTAGGAGACTTTCATAAGGCTATCGAGTACCTTATGCATAATCTACAAATTGCAAGAGAAGTAGGAAATAAAGCTGGAGAGGGACAGAGTTTTGGAAATCTTGGTAATGTCTATGATAGCTTAGGTGATTTTCGCAAGGCAATCGAGTACCATGAGCATCATCTAAAAATTACAAGAGAAGAGAGAGACAAAGCTGGAGAAGGAAGGGCTCTTGGAAATCTTGGCAATGCCTATCATAGCTTAGGAGACTTTCATAAGGCTATCGAGTACCTTATGCAGGATCTAAAAATTGCAAGAGAAGTAGGAGATAAAGCTGGAGAGGGACAAACTTATGGAAATCTTGGCAATGCCTATTTTAGTTTAAGCGATTTTCATAAAGCAGTCGAGTACCATGAGCGTCATCTACAAATTGCAAGAGAAGTGGGAGATAAGGCTGGAGAAGGAAAGGCTTATGGAAATCTTGGCATTTCCTATGATAACTTAGGCGATTACAATAAGGCAATTGAGTACCATAAGCATGACCTAGAAATTGCAAGAAAAGTGGGAGACAAGGCTGGAGAAGGAGGGGCCTATGGAAATCTTGGCAATGCCTATTACAGCTTAGGCAATTTAGAAAAGGCAATCGAGTACCATAAGCGTCATCTACAAATTGCAATAGAGGTAGGAAACGAAGCTGGAGAAGGAGCGGCTTATGGAAATCTTGGCAACGCCTATAATAGTTTAGGCGACTTTCACAAGGCAATCGAGTACCATAAGTGTCATCTACAAATTGCAATAGAAGTGGGGGATAAAGCTGGAGAAGGACGGGCTTATGGAAATCTAGGCATTGCCTATGGAAACTTAAACGATTTTCATAAGGCTATCAAGTACCATGAGCGTCATCTACAAAAAGCAAAAGAAGTGGGGGATAAAGCTGGAGAGAGACGGGCTTATGGAAGTCTTGGCAATGCCTTTCATAGCTTAGGCAACTTTCGTAAGGCAATCGAGTACCGTGAGCGTCATCTACAAATTGCAAAAGAAGTGGGGGACAAGGCTGGAGAAGGAGAGTCATACGGTAATCTTATCTTATACTCTTAATCAATGCCCATCAGAGCTTTCGCGATTTTCATGACTCAAACCTAAAACTGTCCTGGCAAAATCAAATGATAAAAGTTTGTTTGAGTGTTGCATCCACATTATAAATTTCAAAGCTAAAAAATTCTGTTACCGCTCGACCTAGTTTGCCAAAGGATTCCACCTCCAATTTCTAGGATTTTTCTAAACCGTTTTAAAATTTTAGAATCCCAGAGTTTTGCGACAAAAGAGAATTTTTGCCTCCCTAGTAAACTGATTTTAGTTCAACTACACGCTGTTCGCAGCTTTGCGATAATTAATCGACAAGTTTATCACAGTTTTGCTTATTTAATTAATTTTGTCCAGATTTTACTTGGGACAAATTTGTCGGCGGTGTGTATTACGATTTGTCGGCCCTGGCCAAAATTTTTCAAAATTTGGTGATGACGAAAAATTTGCTTTAAATAAAGAACTTTTTCGTTAGTGCGGAAAGACCCCATGTTGAACAATTTTGGTTGAACATATATTGAGAATTAATTGGTAGTAAATGTCCGTTATTTTGTATACTGAAACCAAACACGTCAAAATAATTATTTCCCCAGCCAATGAAGAGGATGAGGTACCTTATTACACCGGCAGAAAAGATTTGGCAGATATAGAAGATGCAACCGTAGACACTGAAGACAATGAAAAGACTTTGATCAAAAGGTATGGGTTTTTCTGCAATGACTCAGTTTTTTGCCTTTCCCATGTTTTTTTTTTGTTATGGTATCACAGACCATTGTAAAGGGCAGGGTTGGAGTTGCTAGGAGGTGTGATAGTGAATCATTTTAATAAATTTTTTGATTTATGATTATAATTTGAGGCTATTTGAGTCAAAGAAAAGCAAATTAATGGAAAAATGTCTTAGTACAGCTGGCTTAACAATCTCAGAGCCATTTTTGTTTTGTTTTGTGCAACTTCGGTTTTTGAGGAACAACCTTTTAGATGTTCATATATTTATTAAGTAAACCAAATCAGGAATCTTAATTTATTAGTGGGAGTAGCTGATTCAAAATAGTTTTTCTTTGTCTATCGTATGCTTTTATTACTGACTGAAAAAAAAAATAAAGAAAAATAACATTTATTATATTTAATTTTGAAATTAAGTGTCAATATCTGAATGAGTTTTTCAAACTGCCAGTTTGCCACTTGCATTTTAAATGCCTTTGTCATTGCTTATTCCACTTGGGAAAAATATCTTAAAATGCTGGATAATTAATTTCCTTTGTATTTCAGAGGAAAAATCGGAGGTAAGGAAGACACATGGTACCTGAGGGAAGCTGGTGCCTCTATCAAACTTTGCAGTGGAGCTGTACAACAACCTGTGCCATTTACATGTAGATGCTTATTGTGGAACCCCAGGACCCTCTCCCCTTCCACTGCCAGTGATGAGATATTGGTTAGCAGTGTTATTGAAATATCTCATGATGGCCCACCAGATCTGGATTACAGGAAAAGTTTTGAAGGAATAAGTTTTACTGTATCTTTGCTGCACAGTGCCCCATATTTGGAGGGGTATGAGGTGGTTATCAAGCAACTGACTGACCAAGAGAACAACGAATGGAAGGAATTAAAGACAGAGAATACTTGGCATGGATCAGGTAACGTTATGTTTTTATTAAATACAGGTGTGAATAACTTAATGAATGATCATGATATTCCTAGGCTCCCTTTTTCACTGGCATCAATGTCAGCATTTGAGAAATGTGCAGCTGCCCCTCTCCTAACCCAAAATTAAACCTAACCTGTAACCCGAACTTATCAGTTGACTTAAGGGAGAAGGAGTAGGTGTGCACTGACTTAGATGCGGACATCTATCCCTGCAGTGCATGACATGCTGCACTCATAATGTCAAATTGGACTTCTTGCTTCTTCATAGGCATTGCAAATCCAACTTTAGAACTTTTTTTTCGTTTATCCTTTAGGTGTATCCAAGCAGTACGTGTAATTATTGCATACATGTTACATGAAGTCTCCAATGCATTTTAATCACTATAATATAAATTTTCCTCAATAACCATGTTGTTGCAAACTTTATTCTTTGAAGCATAAATATCATAATGACATCTGTTGGGGCTAACTTTATTGTTTGAAGACTTCAAAACACAGCTGAAGGATGCATTTCCAATCATTTATTTTTATATGCAGAAACTTCAACAGTTCCCAAGTGGCTTTTCCCATTTGCACAAGCTGTTTGCACAAAATCAGCAGTTTCTTCATTTGCTGCAGTCTGGCGTCCTAAGTCTTTCACCTTTTCAAGAGGTACTGCAGGAGGCCCGGAATTGACCTGTATTGTGCCTGACCTTCCTGATGTCAGTGTCCAAATTCCTCAGAGTTGTGTTCCTGTTTATCAAGATTTCTGTGTGACAATCAAGGTGCATGGAACTATAAAATTATATACATGCATGAGTCCTGCAACTTTTTCATTTTCCAGTTTTGAAAGCCATAGGATTGGCGTGAGGGGATTGTCAAAAGCAAGGAGATAATACAAAGGTGTTGCAATAGTATAACCTGTACCCTCAGTTACTTGCCATACACTCCATGAACTTGGTGGCAATATTCATGGAAAGAGAGATATTAATTAACAACTTTAAGCTAAAATAGAGGACAGTTGGGCTTGTGCTTGCATGTGTGTGAAGATACATGTGACAAAGTTATAATCAGCAGTTTTGGTAACTTCGAATTATTTGTGGTACTACTGTCCCAAAATGTACTCATGGAGCCTGGCACTTCCCTTTTTAAAAACTAGGTTTTGGAAAACTCATTCTAAGCAACAAACAGACTTTTGCTTCGATATAAATGTCAAATTGAAATCATTCCTGTCAGGTAAATTGGTTTGTATTGGTTTGCAATTAATGCAATTAGTGGATGAAGTTATGCATGATATCATGATGAATTAGCAAAACCAAGGTCTGAGTTATCTGAGTAAGCCGAAGACAACACAGACATAAGATTTGGTGAGTTATGACATCATGCAAAAACCAAATTAAATTATTGTTTTATTATACATCTTTTAAACAAATTACGAAAGAAGACATCTCTTTAAATTTGTAAAAGTTTAAGAATACTTTACAGACAGTCAGGGCTTGGAAACTAGGCAGAGGTTCAATTCGACATGATAACTGCAATATCTGCGGTAGATATTGGGTTATATGTGAACTTTACTCTTTACTGTATATTGATTGAGTGCTCTTAATGAATCAGACTTTTTATATTAAGTCCAGTGTATACATTTTTTCATAATAATGCTTATATTACTACATAAAACTTTGAAAGGACATTTACATTGTGTACTATAATTTTAGATAATTTCAAAATTTCATCCTGAAATTCACTTTCCACAATGTAAAGCAAATTATCTTTATGCTGGGAGTGGTTTAACATGCCCAACAACTTGTTTTGCTTTTAAATCCAGGTACAAGAATTCCCAAGCAGTGAGCTAAAAGGAGAGGGAGGACTTGTCGGTCCAGTTATTTACATTTCAGGCTCTCAAAATGTTAGTCTCATCGCGCCTGTAACAATAAGGATTCCTCTCACCTTCCGTAAAGAAAAACAAGAGTTGGCAGAGTTACGTCCCGGTGAACTGAGGATATTACAATGTGAAGCACATGACTGGAAAGACATTACAGATAAATTAGATGAACCGCCACGTCTTGTAGATGGGAAAGTGCAATTTAAAGTTAGGCATTTCTCTGGGTAAGTATTTCTCGTCGGCTTTATTTGAAAAATAATACGCATGACGTAGAGGAAATTCAAACGTATTTTAGTGTACAGTCATACATACATGGATTTCTTTTAGTTAACTATAGATTCAATAATTGAAATGACCACTCGAGTACGTATATACTCAAGATTACTGTGCAATGGCTGATAATCGTTTCCATTGGATTGCTTGAGCTGTGTTTGATTTTTCCTTTTCTTTTTCGATAGATTCCGTCCAATCAAGTTGATGAGATCACGTTTACAATCTACTTCGGGCTTCACTGAGTTTGTAGGAAAACTTTGCTATAGGTCTAGGCCTCAGCATGCCCGATTTTTTACTTGCTTGTGTGAGACCGGTGTTCGTGGACATTTTAAACTCAAACTTTTTTGCTATCCTCAAAGACTGTATTATGATGTAATACGGAAAATATCGGAATGTGTCGTACTCTACAAAGACGAAGGCTGCTCTTCTAAACCAGTTTGTGGAGAGGAGAAAATTTTGGTGTCTCTTTCCGAGGCTATCATACCCCAGGACACAGACCAGAAAAATGCCCTGCAGTTTGTGAGGTATAATATAATACAACTTATTTCTGGCCCATCAAGTACATATGATTTACTTGAATGCTTCTAGGTTACGTCATGCTGGTTTTACATAGAAATGATTTATTCCTTCCATTGTAAAATTGTACATTGTTCAACTGTCAGTGAACCATTTTTCGCCACGGCTTTTCTAGGTTTCTTATCAATCAATAGGGCCATGGAGATATACATGTTGGTTTTTTTCGGCTTTATTGTCTTCAAATGCTCGTTTTTAAATATTCATTAGGGCTCTCGTTAAATGTGCTGTCATTTTCGGTTGTAAGAAAAGATTTCAAAACGTGTACTTTTCTAGACGAAGACGGCTGGTGTACGTTAGGTTTGCCTCATTTAAATTCATTTCATTTTTAACAGATTCCACGAGAACAAAGTTTATTACACAGGTGGTGAAGTTTGCTTAGGAAATGAGAGTGTTCCAGGAGTGAAGTTTTGCGACCAAAATCAGCAACTTTTGTGCAACATTATCATGGTATTAGCGTCTCAAGTAGGTGACATCTTACGGTTTGTGGATTTGCTAATTAAATGCACTTTTAGCCCAGAGCTAATATAGTATTGATGCCAACCTTATTATAGTAGATGACAATGAATTAAAAGGATTAGCAATGCTTTAACCACAGGCAGCCCAAGCTCCAGTTGTGAGATGATCATCTTGCGAAATAAGAGTCATGGCGAAAATTTTAGTT